TTCACGACCGCAAATGTTTTTGTTTTTCACCCAGTCGTTAAGGCATAACAAACATCGTGCAGATCCGATGTTTTTTTATAGAATTTTTCCTTCGGCACGCAGAAATATTTACCTGCGAGACTCTCGCACGAGACACGAGAAGTCTTGCACGAGACTCGAGACGAGACCAATGAAAGTCTCGTCTCGTCTTGTCCGAGTCTCGTCTCGAGTCTTGTCTCGAAAACGAGACGAGACCATGCGAGACTCTCGAAAACGAGACTCTCGCGGGCACCACTACTGGAGGTTATATGCCTCGGGGAACATCTCCCTTGACAAAGTGGGGTGCGAAGCCCTAACACGACGTGTTAATCTCGCGGGGACTGCCAAGGGAGGAACAATTGTTGATATTTCAAAAGAGCATCGTTCATGAAAATCTATAAAATAGAGCCAGATCGCCAACTTTTCTACGGTGTCCCAGGGAAGTGAGTGAATTGCCCTTTTTTGAGTAGATTAGTCCAAACTGAGAAAAATTCGTTGAACTTTAAGCTTTACAATAAATTACCGAATCAGGTTAAATCTATGAATAAAATATGCTTCAAAACTACTGTGGAGAAACACCTTCTCAGATATTGTTTTTATTCGAATGATGAATTCAATCAAACTTCAATTTTATGAATTTTATGTACTTACATGTGATACGATCGAGGATACTATCTTGTAATGTTATGTTTGTTTTATCTTTGTATTATTTTCATAGTGTATTTCAACATTCTGTTCGTTTGTCTTTATATAATATTTCAATACATCTGTGCTTTAATACTGACTTGCTAATGACCATTTTTGTATGAGTTACATAGTCAAATAAATCTATCTATCTAAATATCTATGACAGCACATCAGACCTACTAACCCTTCAATCCCGTAGACATACCCTGGAAGTCATAGAAAGGTGACTTTATTTGCTTCGACTAGTTCGTCAAGCTTTTCTAGGAAATCCCACTATTTTGAAGCTGATCACTTGTGAATGGAAAGCTTTGATGGCTGCTTGATTGTCAGACATGATGATCTTTTTCCTGCGCTAGTTCTTTAGCTCATTTTGGTATCTCGTCCTGAGGCATGTACTGGAACGCTCTTTGTCATATTCTCCACTAGGATATGGAAGAGTGTGAAATTCAGGAATATTACTATCAGCCGATATCTTTTTATATAATTTTTTATGTAAGTAATGAGTCTATGCATTGTTCGAGATTGTTGAATTTCAGAGCTCATTTCCAACGAACCTTCATGACCGCCATTTGTTCATACGTCGCTGTTTCGTTATTGATCAGATAATCTCCCACTTCCACTCATAGAGCATGGTCATCAAGTCAACAATTATAATCAAGTTATCAGAAAGTCATGTCGTTGAATGAAACATAATAGGAGGGACCCATATGATATATATAGTAGTTCATTCTCGACTTTTTCGAGCAATCAGCATGTCCAAATATTTCTCATTCTCCATAACAAAATATCATGTAAAATTTGAAAACTTGGCATCATTGTGCTGAATGCTGAGAACTGATAAGACCACGCCCACAAGTCGTGCGCTGTGTTGTCACGTTCACGAATCAATATATTTATTATTGATACAAATTCAAGTCGAATTTATAATCAAGTTATCAGAAAGTCATGTCGTTGAATGAAACATAATAGGAGGGACCCATATCATATAGTAGTTCATTCTCGACTTTTTCGAGCAATCAGCATGTCCAAATATTTCTCATTCTCCATAACAATAAAATATCATGTAAAAGTTGAAAACTTGGCATCATTGTGCTGAATGCTGAGAACTGATAAGACCACGCCCACAAGTCGTGCGCTGTGTTGTCACGTTCACGAATCAATATATTTATTATTGATACAAATTCAAGTCGAATTTATAATCAAGTTATCAGAAAGTCATGTCGTTGAATGAAACATAATAGGAGGGACCCATATGATATATATAGTAGTTCATTCTCGACTTTTTCGAGCAATCAGCATGTCCAAATATTTCTCATTCTCCATAACAATAAAATATCATGTAAAAGTTGAAAACTTGGCATCATTGTGCTGAATGCTGAGAACTGATAAGACCACGCCCACAAGTCGTGCGCTGTGTTGTCACGTTCACGAATCAATATATTTATTATTGATACAAATTCAAGTCGAATTTATAATCAAGTTATCAGAAAGTCATGTCGTTGAATGAAACATAATAGGAGGGACCCATATCATATAGTAGTTCATTCTCGACTTTTTCGAGCAATCAGCATGTCCAAATATTTCTCATTCTCCATAACAATAAAATATCATGTAAAAGTTGAAAACTTGGCATCATTGTGCTGAATGCTGAGAACTGATAAGACCACGCCCACAAGTCGTGCGCTGTGTTGTCACGTTCACGAATCAATATATTTATTATTGACACAAATTCATTGAGAGCAATAAGCCACAAATCATAAGGGGACATTTTGAGACAATTGAATTGCTTATTAGCAATATTACCAATTCTCATATGAGAATTCATGAATCACCTATTGAATAACTGATATTTCTGGAGTTCCTAATCGTATTTCAACACATAGCAAATGTGCTATGGTCTGCCGCTACTTACGAAATCGTGGCGTTAAATTTCTATCCGTTTGAAAAAGACCGTGGCATCATTGATGATTTTAGCACCTAAATTCGACCGAAAAATTTTCAGAAAATATGAAATTGAAAGATTTTTGAGTGATGAATCTATTCAAGAAATTTGAAATTAGTCCACTCGTCTATTCTGGCACTATGCCAGTCACATATCAGACTAAATATTGCCACCACGATAAGCCATATAGGGTGGACATGAAATAGGTTTATGAATATTTTCAGCTTCAACACCCTGTATTTTGCAAACAAAGCCTTTTACGACTTTTGTTAACTAGAACTTTCTTGTTTTCTTGAGACGCTATATCACCCCAAAGTGCGTCCCACATATTACGAAACACCCCAGGATACCGGGAAATTTCCCTTAAAGTGGCCCCAAGTTGAAAAAGGAATTTAAACATTTTTGGGCGTTACAAATTCATTACATAACATAAATTAATAAGAAAATGTTTGAGGCCCACCCCACCATCAGTCCGGCTAGTCCGGCATATCCTCCAATCCTCTCCTAACCTAATATACCCTTACCCAACCGCTTTCCACTTCCACCTACCACACTATTCTACATTTCATCTGCATTCTGTATTATAAAAAACGCCCAGAAAAATATAGCAGGCTTGTTTGATAAATTTATGATGATGATATTCTGAACAAAGTAAATACATGCATTCATAGATTACCTACGTAGGTGAGCACGTTTCCTTGATAAACAGTGAACTTTATATCGAAACAGTTTCCACTAACTCGTCAAGGAAAAGTTAAAAAATGCCTGGTGAGAAGTGCTCTGATGAAAATGTACAGGACCCAACTAGAAATGAAAGTTTGAAAAACCGTTAGGCATCATATCATGAAAATACCTACAAAGACTTTTCTTACTTTGATCCGCGTAATTTCCATATTATGTTGAACGACGAAAATTTTATTTTGCAATCCAGTTCATTTTCGGTAATATCTGAATTAACTGGCCTGGATCCATCTTCAATAATGAAGGGGCTAATCAGCTTTGCTAAAAATTTTGCGAGTTTGAAGTATAATTCATCTGTCAAAGGCATTGAAGATGAAAAAGATAACGCAGATTTCAGCGAAAGCACCGAGAGTAAAAACGAAATGGAAGAAAATAAAGTTGCAAGTTTCGTTCACAAAGATTCTTCATGTTCTGGTTGCTTTGTTTGTTGTTTGATTTGGAAACATAAAATCTCACTCTGCAATATATTCGAATATATACGTTGCCTACAAGTACCTATTGACTCTGTCATGTACTCAAGTTTCTGACTGAGGTATTTATTAGGGCAAGAAAGACTGGAGGCGTTTCTTCTGATGAACACCAAGATCGATATGTTAAATGACCTAAATTATGACGATATTATTGATGCATTGGCAAAAACATCAGAAAAGTATGGGAGACAACTTATATGAGAGACTTAGTAGACTTAGTAGTTGAAGTTGAACTTTAGCTCCTAGGAACTAAAAAGGATGTACTGGACGTCCTCAAGAATAAACAACATTGTGACGGTTGGTTATTTGGGTTTTGGCGCATACCTGATTTCTTTCCGATTTCAGCAGATTTGAGATTATGGTTTAGTATTGGAATTATAAACATCTCACTTCAGTATTTTTGTTTTGATCAGGAAAGCCTTCAAGATTCAAATACTTGCTTGATCTGTATTTCATTCGTTATTCTCGGGATGGATAACTTGTTTTTGAATAATCACGGCAAGCAATAGATTTTTTGTCTCAAACAACGATATTGTTTAGCTTCATTTGTTTATCAAGTCAAATACAGTGTAGTATAGAGAGGAATAAATAATCACTATTATCATTGTTGATAAGCTCACTAACCTAACATTTTCCACGTTTTGTTCCTATAGCTGGCACTGCCGCGGTATTTGCCATTAGAGCAACTGGTCCATACACAAATATGTCACTCTGTGGTTGTATTAATATTGAATTGAAACTACAATTCGAACATCCTTGAAAACTTAACCTGCTGTTAATGCAGGTAGAATATTCCAAAGATTACTGAGATTATCTTCTGTAGTCTATGAATATTCTCACCACACGGATTATTTGTCAATATTTGTTGCATGGTTGCATTGCATACATATGGCACGGCATTGGTGGTTACTTCACATGTTTATTTGAGTTAATTGTTTCGGTTGCAGAAAAAATAGCATGTTTCACCTAACTCCTAGGAGGAGGCTCCTTTCGCCTACAATCCGACCCTTTCGAGCGTCACTAACGCATTGCAAAAGTGCAGAAATAAATATCAAAATATCGAATGTCTCCAAAACCGAATACACACAACACAGAGCGTCTCGTCTCCCTGTCAGGGTATCGCTTTCCCTTTAGGGGGGTAGCTATATTGTGTTCGCCACGCCCTGCTGGTTAGCGGGTGCCGCTAATTGATATATTGGCCGCCTAGTCGACACAGACGACAGGATGGGAATAGAATCTAAGGCGTGCACCATCTGAGGAGTTAGACATTGCTGTCACCAAACATAAACATGTTCGGTGTTGCTGTCAACGGAACAGCAGGAGTTTTGTTGAATTTGTTTTCGTAATTCATATTGTTATTTTGATTTGACGGTATTCAGATGGCAATTAAAAAGGTAATATTAACAGCCTCCGCCCGTTAAGATTGTTTAACTGCCGGTGGCCGTTATACAATTATAACAATTCTATATCTTCTGAATCAGTATGATTTGAATTCAATACAAAAATCGCAAAACAGAGCTATGCATATTATGTTCTCATCTAATAAGTACACACACATGAAGGATATGTTGAAAAGTTTAAATTGGCTGCCTATTGAGGATTATTTTGAATTTTTGGTATTGGTATTATTTTTCAAAATAGAAAGAGGTGAAGAACCAAATTATAAGGTAAATAAGCTGACTTATAATCAAAACATGCATCATCATAACACCAGACAGAAAGAACACTTTTTTATTTTACCGAGGAGTAAAAGATTGGCAGAAAATTCCGTTTTTTTATTGGTTTGGAACAATATAATGACTTGCCATCTGACGTGAAGAATGCATTTTCCATCAATATATTTTAGACCAAATTGAAAATGCATTTTTCCTACGAGCGTGCGCAAAGTAGTACTTTTCCGCACTCATTTGCGTGCGCAAAGTAATACTTTTTCGCACTCAGTGCGGATATGGGTGTTATCCGCACGTCGCATCCTGCGGATAAGTGAAACTACCCAAAAATCTCACTGATGGGATCATTGAGTATTTATATTCATTTTATTAGTTGCTATAGACTATTGAATGCACTATAAGAAGCCGTTATCATTTTCACTTTTCAACCGTTCTTCCCGATATTTGTATTTCACTTCAATATAAATATCAGGAACAAATGATTGAATTTTTTATCATTATATTTTATTGATATGTAATTGTTAGTTGTTTAGCTATTTCTATCAAGTTTAACTAAAAATTATTCCGCTCCGCGTCGTTCGCCTAACTGTATTTGCGTGTGGAAAAGTAACACATTGCGCCCTTGTTAGGAAAATTACTATATTGAAACGAACCAACTCAAACTCTTGAAGATTTTCAATCGTTTATTTCATGTCCTGTATTCTTATTGTACCTTTTGTGGTGATCTTGTCTAGATGTTCCTTGTTCGTTGACTTGTATATTAGCATTTGCTAAATAAATAAAGAATAAATAATATTATTGTGATATTGTTAGACTGTTTCATAACAACACGATGTTGGTATTTTTCTGTTGAATTACCAGGTATAGTGATTTGTTCTTTCCTCGGAATTAAAATGTAATCTTTCTGCGGGGTTACGAAAAGTTTGAACGACACCCGGCCAATATATACGTAAATAACGGATTCGGTTGTTATAATCCTCGGATGCGCCTCGGATTTATTTGCTACATATCGACCTTGTAACGTTAATAACTATAACAAGTCGAGCTCCGAAAGTGCCCCCATCACTATCGGTCTCAATAGTGGAAAAAAGTACAGGGCTATAGTTACACCAATATGGACTCCCGTTTATTTTTTTCTGTTCAACACCAATTCAACAAATTTTAATGTTGGTTATATTCAGTTTTTTGCACAGATTATACTCATATAGTCAATGATGCTCTATCTCTTCAAATATATACTGGGTATACAGAAATGAATATATTTTTCAAAATAACTGCCCTGTATATTTCGATAGATATCCTTGAGTCATCCAGATTTCAAACATATACAGGGTGATTCACGGTGGATGACACATTAGACGTTTCTGGAGAACGCAACTCAGGATTATTCTGAAAAGTTGGTGCCTTGGTTGAACTAATTAGTTGTGTTCTATGAATATCAACTGACTTCACCAGGTATCCGACGATTCCGACGATTCCGACGTATCCCAGAATATGGCCAAGACGCGAGCCAAGACGGCATGTTTGAAATGAGCTCTAATTCAAAAATTCAGAACAACACATATAGACACATTATTTACGCGTGCGAAGTGTTCCAAAAATAGATTTAGGTGAAATGGATTTGAATGCACAGCTAAACGTGTGCAATGCCAAGAACCAGATTGAGTTTTGGCACAACAAAACGCACCTATTATCAGTCCAGTAGCCTATTCCTAGCCTATTCCAGCCACCCTGTTCAGGTACGGTACAATACAGCATAGCACAGTCAGCGTTAGAGTAAATTCGACTCCTTATATGGTGCTCGCCCTAGACTCGAATCAGGATGCGTGCTATCTGGCAGTCCTGTTGCTACTGCAACCGCTTGCCGCTTCGCTAATGGCTTTCCATTCTTTCGTTCGTGAGAAACTCAATACGCGAACAGATTTTGGAACGAATATAAATTTTGGGTCGGCGTAAAATTTACACTCTAGAGGCCATTCCCAGCGAGCACAAACATCCCTGGGATGTTTTGGGATGTTTTGAAAATGTTGGCATGAAGATGTTATTTTGAGACGTAATATGCACTGACCAAAGAGGTCTTTGAAGGATATTGAAGTATTGTTTTTGTTCTTCGGTGGCATTTCTTTGTTTGCCTACTGAGAGGTATCTCTGGGATGTTTTGGGATGTTTTAGAAATGTAGGCATGAGGATGTTTTTTTGAGGCGTAATATGCACTTTCCAAAGAGGTCTTAGAAGGGCATTGAAAGTATTGTTTTTGTTCTTTTGTGCCCTTTCTTTGTTTGCCCCACCACAACGTCTCATGCTAACGTCACAATACGATGAATTCTGATTTGTTTTCGATTTTGTTCTTCTTGTTCGCAATTGGCATTCGCGTTTGCAGCGTGTCACGCTCACATCACGCTGCTAACGAACAGAGAGGCATTTGGTGAAGTTTATTGTGTTAGAAGACTTATTTAGTTTGTAATAATGACCATCAGATGCAAGATGTGTTGTTCGATGCCTCAGTGTAATCAATATATAAAAGTACGAATTTATCAATACACAGCTTCTCCGCAGTTGCAAAATTATGCATTGTGGAGAACATTTCAAAAATTGGGAAACCCATTTCCAATTATATGTCTGTGTGCAGTAAGCACTACTCAGAAACCGATTAACAAGGTAATTTCATATCATGAAAATATTTTTATGTTCAATCTATTTTTAATGCATTTTTTCATTCAAGGGAAATGGAATCCTAATGCAAAAGTTCATTTTGACAAAAGGCTTCAGAAAAGTATACCTCGAAAATTGTTTTTTTACAGCGATTTAATGTGTGCAAGACGCGTTGAAAATGTTTTGTTGTGTCCATGAAAAGGATTTAAAAAGAACTAGGGAGAAGGTAGTTTTGTGACATATCAAAAGGACATCTCGATAATTGCCGCCTGCGGCGGACATTGGCTGTTCTATAATAGTTCTATTCATGTGTGAACAGAACATCGCAGTGGAGGTTCAATGTCTCGGAATCTCGTACTTTTAACATCTCTGAGATGTTTTTGTGCTCGCTGGGTTGGTTACAGGCATACAACAAAATGGTCAAAGTTTGCGCTATTTTTTCAAATTAGGAAATACCATTTAACACCTCGATTTGGATCGAGAGATAGAACCATAATTTTGAGAATAGCGCTTCAGGAGCATTCGAATATAATATGAATTAGTGGATAAAAATCACTCCATACAGGGTGTGAATAAAAAGCTGCAAAAAAATTAGGGGGTGATTCCTTGTCATATTTTATGAAAAAAAAAGGATACAAACATAATATATGTTTCGTTTTTAAGATGAAGGGTATCAATGTTGTCATGAAGAATCGTTCTTCATAGGTAATTACTCAACCGTCTTTTCCCCAATTTCTGGTTTTGTTGAGCATCTCTTGGCGTAATTGTATTCGAAATAATAATTCCACTTTGTGGTGTAACATTTTTAACAATATAGGATAAATATATTTCAGTTTCCATTGAAAAATCTAAGTTTTAAGACTGCGGAATAGCGCAGTGGTTGAGGCTCTCGACTAGTAAGCAGAAAATCGAAAGATTGCTAGGGTCGGATCCCTGGAACAGCAGAGAATATCCGCGGTGGGGGAATGCTACAGCGGAAGCAAGTTCATGAATACTCTTCAATAATATGATTCATTCTACAACTGAAAAGTGAGATGGCATATAATACCTAGTAATATTGACTGATATGTGATTGCACGACTTTTTTTCCTGTTAATAAAAGTTAGATCCAACATTGTTTATCATATTTTCACAATAAGAATTATTGAAACAAGTTATAAGCAGTTCGTTGATCGAAATTTCGGTCAATAGATAGATAAATAGATATAGATAGATTTATTTGACTATGTAACTCAAACAAAAATGGTTTATAGCAAGTCAGTTTAAAAGCACACATGTATTGAAATATTATATGAAGACAAACGAACAGAACGTTGAAATACACAATGAAAAGAATACAAAGATAAAACAAACATAACACAGAACGAAAAAGGTACGTTATATTAATAAAAAAGTACATCAAATCAGTGAACGTCAACATTAATTTTGGGCCGATGACGGGTTTCATTAATACAATGAACGGTCGTACGTAAATTTTCTTGTTGATTGAGTTATGACTGCAGTACGTTGAATCAACGAATAATGGTCATCGATCTATGTTTGCCGGTGATTGATATTACGAATGGATTTACATTGGTTCATGGTTGTTGTACATTGAATCAATAAACAGCGAGCATGGATCTATGATGATAAACATTGGTTTATGGTTGATGTACATTGTATCAATTAACAGTGAGCATGAATATGTAAGTGCCAGTTACGAAGGACAGACTCAGTTTATCACAGCTGAACATTGAATCAATAATCAGCTAGCATGGATCTATGATCGGCGGTTATTGATATTACGAACGATAGACATCACTTGATGATTTTCTTCATTGAATCAATGAAAAATGAGCATGAATCTATGTTCGACACTTATAGATGTAACGAACAAATTCTATTGGTATTTAACAGTGGTATAGTCGTCGTCGAAGATAATGTTGTCAACA